CTTGGGTGTTGGACGTTAGCAATGTTTTACTTTAATCTTGACCAGTACCTGACCTTTCAGACAGATTACTCTTCCCTCTTTGTGACGGCTTCCGGTCAGGAGTGCAGGCGCCTCCAAGGCGATGTTGCTCCTAATAGGCCATCCAGTCCAACTATACCTTGCGCAGTGGCAACCCCCATGAAGCCTCGAGCCCCTGCGCTGCATCACTAGCTAACCATTCTTTAACCCAAATTGTCAGCGATGGCCGAAGGTCGTTTCCGAATCAGTCCGCTTCCTGACGAAGTCTGGGCAAAGGTCTCATCTTCCTGCGAAATTACGTCTCCAGAGCATGTCGTCGAGGGTCTGATGAGAAATGCTTTGGACGCCGATGCATCCTCAATTGTTATCGAAGCAGAACTCTCAAAGGGCTATCTCTCAGTCTGCGATAATGGAAGCGGGATCAACAAGGTGGAGTTCTCAGAGCAAGGCCACCTAGCCAAACTCCACTGTATGAAACAGCTTAATATGGTTCTTGATCACGAATCTGACCGATGTTTTCCAGGCTCTTCCAAACTCAACGGATCGGATCCTACGTACGGTCGCTATGGTCGTTTCTTGTCAAATCTCTCCTTCCTGTCTTTGTTGTCTATAGCCTCTCAGCATCGATCTGAACCATTTGCAAATCGATTGATCCTGCACCGTGGTGATGTGATCTGTCGCCAGCTGGGACTCAACAAAGAGGAGTTGGGGATTGTGCGACAAGGTACAGTTGTTACAGTCCACAATCTATTCGGGGATGTGCCAGTCCGGTCCAAACAGTTGTCGCTGCGCTATTCTTCTTCGGCCGAGAATGAAAGAGCTTTTAGCCGAATAAAGGAAATGCTTGTTGGGTATGTGCTTGCACAGCCTCGCGCAGTTGAAGTACGATTTTCCGCGAAAGGTAAAAGACAGCACAGTCTCTATTGCTGCTCTCCTACGTCGAGTGGATGCCATTTCTCACTCGAGTCGACTATATCAACACTATTCCAAGCTAAGCTCGTGACATCTCTTGACACCAAGAAGTGGCGCTCAGCATCTGTCCGCACGAGCCACTTCTGCATTCGTGCCGCTATCTCAATCGAACCATCCCCGTCCAAGACAACGCAGTTCATCTCTGTCGGAAAGTTCCCAGTCCGGAGGGGGCATGGAATTAACTGTTTGTTTGACACCATTGATAGGCTTTGTCAAGATTCGAGCTTTGGGTATTTGGATCTCGAGCCTAGTATCTCTTGTGACGAAACCCGAGATGGGATATTCCACGACAAGACTACGAAGTGCGCTAATCTGCAGAAGGGCGTGGATAGATGGCTCATGTTCCACATTCAAATCGACCCAAGATCTGGGGAATTTTCACAATCGCTCTGGTTCGAACAGTCTTCGGCAGAAATGCTCCCCGTCATTGATCATTTGACCAAGGCAGTCGAGTCATTGGTCTCCAATTTCCTGGCAATATATGGAAACTCGGCCGGTGCGGAAAGAAGAAGGTCGAGAATGGGACGCGATCGAACTAAACATGAAGAGGATTCTTGCCGCCAACTGCTTGTTGGGGAGTCCGCTTCTGAAAACTCGCAACTTGCAACTGAGGCTCGGTATCTGAGTCACTGGCACCGCGTGAAGAGCGCTCGACCTTTAAGAGAAGATTTTCGCTATGGCTTGGGCTTGAGGAAGTCGGACAATCTTTCTTGGATATCCATGCAAGCGTCCAGTGGAGGTCCGTCGTCCGGCACCCTCCGTGTTGATGATCTGGACCTTGGTGCTACAACCAGCGAGACCCAATTTGAGAATGAAAATGAAACTGTCGCCGTCTTCCCTTGGATTAACTCACGCAATGGTCAGGTCGTTTACCTCCACCCTCGCACTGGACTAGTCATGCCTATGTCTAGTCTAGACCTTGCACATTTAGATCGAAGTCGCGGACGTTCTCCGCTACTACAGAACCAGACCTCCACTTCTTCTAATGACATTGATGGCAAAAGGCCGCGAGCGAAATCGGTACTCAACTTACACAGATATCTGCGAAGGAGCTCCCTCAATCGACCTGAGGCACCAATCGCTTGCATCATGTCAGAGGAGGTTCTGGGTGTATCTCGCAGACGTGCCGGCGCCGGACGACAGAGTAACACTATTCTTCACTCACAGTCCGTCACGAAAGGCTCTCTTTCCAACGCAATCGTTATCCAGCAAGTCGACCGAAAATTCATACTCGTCCTTCTCGCTATTCGAGATGAGCACGACCCATATTCGGCGGAGAGGGGAGAGAGGAGACTTCTCGTCCTGATCGACCAACATGCCGCTGACGAAAGAGCTAAATTTGAGAAGCTATGTGGCGACTTCTGCAAGCGCACCTCAACAAGCCTCACCAAACCCCTAGTCTTCGAGGTTGACGAAACGGAGGCCAAACTTCTGGAAGAGCAAAAGGATTATTTTCGGGGATGGTGTGTCAGCTATTACATGGTTGAAAATCCACAAGCAGAGCAAACCCCAGCATGTTCGCGCGGCCTTCATACCTGGAGAGTAGAGGTCACGGGATTGCCGGATCTCATCGTTGAACGTTGTCGCGCCGAGCCGAAGCTCTTGGTTCATATCATGAGAAGCGAGATATGGTTAGGTGGCGCGCGGCGACGCTCTCCGCTATCCCATCTCCCTGAGTCATATGCACTGTCTTGGTGGTCTGACATTGGGGACTGCCCGAGAGGAATGATCGAGATGCTTAGGTCTAGATCATGCCGTACCGCGGTGATGTTCAACGATCCTTTGGACTCAAAGCAATGCCGCGAACTTGTGCAAAGACTATCTCAATGCACCTTCCCTTTCCAATGTGCTCACGGACGACCCACGTTTACAGTGCTGGCAGACCTTGATGGTGGGGATCATTGTGGCTCCAGCATGGGTGCAAATATTGATCCCAGCATCGGCGCACTTGGATTTGGAGATGCATGGAAAGCTTGGGTCAAGTAACCGCTTTGGATAGAAGTAGTACTCGTTATTCTATACAGAGTACTCGACATTCACGAGTACACATTACAATAGGAGGCTTCCTGCCTTTGTCTCACCCATCTCCCTCGTTCTTCTCGCTCTGTCCGCTCTGTCCGCTCTGTCGCCGCTCGTTGTCCCAATGACGAGCGGCTAGGTCGGCTAGACCAAACGCAAGCGCGAAAGTGACTTCGGAAACAATTTCGTAAGAGTCGCAAATGCACGGTGGGGCGGGGGCAAGACGCGTGCGTGATCGTCGTCACAAGGCCGTATCCAATGGGACAACAGAACAGGCGGCATCCTAGGTGACTGTGCAGGGGCAGGGAGCTGGCCTAGACAGCATTTTTGACGAGCGGCTGGTGGACTTTGCTGGCGGGCGTAAGTTGAGCTCAGATTTGACATCAAGCGCCCAATCGTCGTTCGCGACGGACCTCCATCACACACATCCAACTTCAAGCTCGAGGCCCCTTTTGGCCCTTGGTGATTCAAGGTCAGCCCTTGCCTCGCTTTTGGAACTCTGCAGCTGTGACGGGCGCGCAACTCTAGCACAAAGGATGTGGTACTAGCTCGTTCTTGGAACGGCACAAAGGACTGTCGATTACGAGGTTTCGCCAGGACTGACAGGAGAAGGAGCCAGGAGGGAAGGGGACGAGCAGAAGCCAGGCCGAGAGGCAAGCAAGGCACACACAGCTGCATACTTGGTCAGCCAGGTGATTTATTTATGCAGTGTTGCACCTGTTAAAGTGCTCCCTCCTGTTGCTTCTTGAGAATGACACCTTTCGATCTCGTTCGCTGAAAATTGGGTATGATCGCTGACGAAGAATGAAATACCTAGTACCAAGGATGGCTCCCCATGTCACGACACACCACAGGAAGATCCTTCTCAGACAACTGCCGCCTAGGTTTCCGGTGGCCCGCGGCCCCTTGGGGGAAAGCTAAAGGCTCAGGCAATTCTTTGGGTGGCCAGTCAGCGGCGAGAACGGAGCTGCAAGAAGGATGCGGCAGCTTTGGTGCCAGCCGGCAAGCGCCTTTTCCAAGCGCCCGGTGACTTTAGAAAGCCCCTTGACTGGCGTTGTGGAAGTTTCCCCGACCAAACACGCTCCTCACGACCTTGCCCTGCCTCGCTCTCTTGCCTCTGTTGTCTCTCGTTTCTCACCAGGTGTTAGTATCACTTGCAAAAAAAAAAGTGGGAAAGATGTGCTTAGGCCTCTTTGCCTCTGGCTTTTCCTCTCCTTGCATACAGCTTTAAGTCGGGCCTTTGGGGCGCCTTTCCAACCTCTTTGCAGGATTGTTTGCCTTCGTCTTCACCTCTGCAGAACCTCGGATTTGCTTCCACGATAGGTTGCGGCGCACTCCGCTTACTTGGGCCGAAGCAAGCAATCAGCAGTCAATTCCTTTTTTCGTTGCCGGTCCCGGCTCCACGTGCGCTTCTCGCGGCTGCCGCTTACCTGCCCTCCGACAAACTCCCAGCAAGCAAACAATGTTCACAATTTACAGAGGACAACTTAAGAGCCTACTGCTCTTTTTTTGAGCCCCGTTCCCTTTGACTCGACAAACACCTCTACCACTTCTCTTAGGGTTCTTGGCCCTCCCCAAACACCCACGACTACAATTAAGCGCGTGATTCCCCTGGTTCAGAATCGTGAGCCTCCTGGGCGCTTACCTGTCCTCAGGTTGTGACGGATCATAAGCGCCCATACTCCGTACAGGCCTCTGGTTCTCGCCGCGCGTGTCGCCGTCTCGCTCTACCAGAAGTATCAGACCTCCCTCTAGCGAATCCGCGCTTCCAAAGAGCTGCTCTCCATATCCCGCCAGAAGGGGTAGTCATTGCAAGCGCCCTCTTCCGTTGGACACTCATATCCGCGCTTGCAGCTCTTGCCGTCATTGTATTCAGGAGTTGGATGGAAAAGAAGATCAGAATCTTTCAGGAAGACTTATACTCCGCGGCCACGCTGGGAGCAACCAACTCGCCTGACTGAAAGATCAACTCCAGCATTTGGCCTGCGACAATGCCTCCACCATCGAGTCAGAACGCATCGGAGAATGACGTGACTTCAAGCCCAGATGCCAGTTCGCGAGGGTTTGTCGCAGTCAATAACGCTTCCAGCAACGGTCCGTCGTCAACCCCCCCAAGCATGCATGTCCCTATTGACCATGCTCCAGAAAGCGGTGCCTCTAGCAGACACTCATCTCCGCTAGATCACGCTCCTAGGGAAAGCGAGATGGCAGCTCAAGCTCAAGGTGGCACGTATTCGCTCCCCCAGGGGCAGGAACGTGCTGGTCATAAACGGAAACGATCTGGGCTAGAGGAAGACGAACATTATAGTGATCGTCATTCATATGAGTATAGTCCGCGTGGCGGCCCCGAACCACAACACATGGCCAACCGAGCACTGAGCGTCCTTGGGAGCGCCGACCACAATGCCACAACAGCGTACTATCAAAATGGCGCCAGCCAAAACGGCCATACGTGGCACACCGAGAAGCCTGTACAGCCAGCTAGTTCCCTCAATGGCCTTCAACCGAGCTGCTCCGAAACGCAGCATGGAGAAATATTGCAGCAAGAGGCAAATACATCAGAGCCACCGCCACAACCGCCTTGGGGCCCGGATTATCAGCCCAGGCTTAATGGCCAACTCATTCACGACCAGTATGGCCATCCCGAGTCAGCAACGGGCGCTCCGACGGTCGCGCCTAAACGCAAACGCAATTTTAGCAATAGAACAAAGACCGGTTGCATGACATGCCGCCAACGGAAGAAGAAGTGCGACGAAGCCCAGCCATGGTGTGAGTCTCATTAGCGACTGAAAGTGGAATGTAATTTTCTGTGCATGCTAATACTCTGTCTTTTCCCAGGTAACAACTGTGTTCGGGGGGGTTTCAACTGCAAAGGCTACAGTGTGAACAGGCGTGCGGCGCCGACCAAGCCCACACCGATTAGAGGCCCGGTTCCGCTACAGTCCAGGGATCGTCCGGGTGACGTGTCTGAATCCTCGACTTATCAAGGGCCTCGCATGGAAACCACCATCAAACGTCAGGATAGCGTTCAACCGCGACCAATTCCCGTTGGCAGTAGTGAAGGACAACACCCACCGCCGTATGAGCTGAGTCCACAACGCAATGAGCCACAAACCCGACCACTTCGGCCCAACCAGCATCCCGCGTGGCAGCCGCCACAAAATAATGGTTCTTATACCTCAGAGCATCTCCCTCCTCTTTCTGATCTGAATCGATCAGAACCACATCCAAGTACAAATTCCCAAAATATGTCACGGTCACCAGCCCAAGGTCAAGCCTACCCTCCGCCCCCGCCCCCTCCTCCGCCGCCTCAGCCTCCAAATCAAGCTCCCCTACCCCATCCTCAACACCACTTTGCTCCTCAGCATGCGGCGGGCCCTAACGTCGCCCACCAGCCCCCAGCAGTTCCCCCGCCACAGCAATTACAGTGGCATCAGCCACAACAGCCCCAGCAGCAGCCGTATGGGCATGCATATGGCCCTCCTCCGCCTGGGCACCCACCAGGACCGACACCCAATCCAGCGCCCCCAACTCATGGCAGGAACACCTCTTCGAGCTCGAATTTCATGGTCGCAGACAATAAAGACATCAACAAATCCAGGATGTTAAGGCGAGGTCTCTACATCCACACTGATCCCACGTTGATCTATGACCGTCAACGGTGCGCGCGGGCTCTCGCGCGATATCAGGCAGCTCGCCAGCTAGACAGTGGCCTTGGGGAGGAAGAAATTCGCAAACTGTTGATGAAAGTGCTTGATCCTTTGCAAGACACGACGGGCAATTCGTCTTCGCAAGCAGTTTCTCAAGCCCATCTTGGTATCGGGGTGATGGTCGAGGTGCCTTTTACTTGCACATATGGGTACAATCTCCAGATTTTCGACGATGTCTATGTGGACAGAGGTTGCACATTTGATGATGCTGCGAAGATTGAGATTGGGCCTCGCTCAATAATCGGCGCTGGCGTCACTATCTTGACAAGCGACCAAAACAAGGATCTCGTCAATCGCAAGGGCACCAGAGCTGAATGGATAGCAAAGGAAGTGATCATTGCTGCGGGAGTGATTATCGGCGCCAATGCTATTATCTATCCAGGCGTCAGGATCGGAGAAAATGCGACGGTAGAACCGGGTGTGTTGGTTCGCGAGTCATTAAAAGCGAATCAGATACTTCGGGCTGCGCCGGCTCTACTCATTGATCCACACTAGACGATAGATTGCTGGACTGGCAAATGGCGGGAAGGCAGTGGACTTCGCCCGTGACCTAGCGGTTTGAGGGGCTTTCTTCGAAGCATAGAATCGAGACGGTGTACAAACTTACGGGCTCTGATCTCAGTTTCAAATCCTGCGCTCGAGTTTACCGGCAGCATTTAGCAATTGTTGTATTTTGCACGGCAAGACTGCAAATATATACCTACACAAATACTAGGCAAATGAGCAAAGCTAATCTGTCTGCTGGATGTCGTGAGTACGTCACCAAGCCTCGAGAAAAGGTTTTCGGTGGTCAACTCGTATTTTTAGGTACTGCAGAGGTTGAATTGAGTGCTGGATAAAACTTCCACCATTGTCGAGTCGCTTCAGGAGACCCGTAACCAGCAAGACTTGGCTTTAATAAACGAAGAAAACGCGGCATGTATAAAATTTAGGTATGAGGATTGGCGCATAAGTCTTCAATAATTCGAACATTTGATATGCGATGAGTCCTTGCCAGTCTTCGGTCCCAGCAGTCTGGTTAAAGGTTCCGCACCTACGTCCTGGTAGAGGTTACCCCTCGGTGGACCGGCCGGGTATTTAATTTCATTATGCTCACTTTGGCTGTGCGGGGCAACGGTCGAGGCAGCATTGCCTTTCAGGCATACCGGGTAATACTACTTGTTACAACAAACTATTACTTTATGCGCCAGCAGGGTGAAGGCTCATCTTGGCGCAGCCCCAATCTGGAAATTGTTTCTAAGTCGCACATATGTCATTAGTCGATGTAGCTCTTCAATTCCGATTGACTTGCATATGCGCGTCCAAGATAAGTGTGATGAAGAGATGGGCAGCGATTCACATCACCCGGGAATGTCATGGATCAATAGACGTTACATATCCTAGCATCTTAACCTCCGCTTGTTCAGGGGCTAGTTGGCGGCTTCAAAAATGGAAGCTAACAAAGTCTGCGCTTTTAGATTCCTCAGTGTACGGAGTATCATGAGGCCCTGAGAGTACCGAGTAGTACCTATTTCATCCCAAACGGCCGCATGCGGCTCCCTGTTTCTCATAAAAATCAGTTAGAGAAGACAAGGATGAGTAGCTTGGGCCATGGACCCGCCAACTTGACGAATGTCTCCCCCTGGCTAAGGCCGACCCTGTCAAATGATCTACTCGATTAACGTTCTTTGTCGCTAGGCGTGGAGAGAAGAGGGGCCCAGGTCACTCACTTTGGCCTCAGATTGGGTATGGAAGCGCACAGGCAAGATTGCATCCGGCTAAAGGTCTGGATATGCCATCGACGACTTCGCTGATATGCCTAAAAGACACGCATCATATCTACAAGTACACAACACCTAGGCCTTGCATAGCATCACTTCCAGAAATATCAAACAATTCATAACAGGTGGCCAAAGTTACTCCGGTCCAAGCCTCTAGAGGCCTAGAACTCACCCAGTCCCGGCGATGCAAAGGGCACTACCACGAGTTTGGGAAGTCTTTTTGGGGTGGCTTGGTGGCTTGCAGGCCGGCTGGTTCTGACGCCTTTTGTCGGCCCGTTGGGTGGGCTCTCCAGCACAAGAGCAGTACGGAGTACGGAGCATCTACTCGTACTTGTACTTGGTAGGTAGGCAACTTGGTAGTCCACTCTGGGTGCCCTTGCTCTGTTGTGCTAGTAACTTCCTTCCTCCATTAACCACGACCTTTTCACCTTCGGTCAGTCTTTACCGTGCCCACCATTTTGTACAGTTAATTCTTCAGTCAATTTTGTGTCATTTGGTTCATTATCGTCGCCAGTGTACAGCAATCCTGATCTCTACCTCACTTGGCCGTCCAGTCTCTGTGAGGCCAAGCTCCAACCTCCTCCTGGCCCTTGCAGACGGGTCGAAGCCCCCTCGCCTTGTCTCGGCGCCTTGCTCTCGTGCCTCCCTTGCTTCTCCTTGGACACATATTCTGCAGTGGCTATCTCTACATCTCCGGCTTTCTGATCACAACATTGGGATCCCGGTTTCATTATCCGCTCTTGATTGTCAGGGAAATGGCCTTCTGCGAGGCGCAAGAGCTTCGACACTGAACGATATGAACATCGACTCTTCACGGACCCTGCAGCAAAATGCGCGAGCCTCAACCTCCTGCTATCTACGTTGCACCTCTACGAATCCGCAAGAATAGCGATGATGATGACCATGACGACGACCATGACAACCACGGGCCGTCCACCAAAATGGAGGACTCGGGGCTGGCCACCACGAATCCACGACCAACGTCTATAGAATCCCTCGACGGCATGGCCTCCACTCACGGAAGATTCCACAACTATCTACGAGCCCTCTATCCCTTTCAGCCCTCCTCTCCCCACTCCTCCACCACGGTCACACTCCCTCTCAATGCCGGAGATATTATTTTGGTACACTCAGTGCACGTCAATGGCTGGGCCGATGGCACACTATTGGAGACAGGAGCTCGTGGATGGCTGCCGACCAATTACTGCGAAGGTTACGACTATGCTGCCATGCGACCTCTGCTCAAGGCATTAACCGAATTCTGGGATCTCGTGCGCTGCGCAGGCGATTCAAACCTGAGTCTTTTCCGCAATCAGGACTATATGAGAGGCCTAGTTGCGGGAGTCCGCGCATTGCTGGAACGCTCCGACTGTCTGACCCGGGATTGTTCTTTGGTCAAGAAGCACGATCCCATACGGAGGACACGTAAAAACCTCCTCTCTGATCTCGCTCTTCTTGTCCGTGCGGCAAAAGAACTGCAGCAAGTAGTCGTGGGCCACACGGCTAGCAAAGACACACTCGACATCCGGCTGGACGACATGCTGTTGAAGGCCTTCCGAATCGTCACCCGTGCCGTCTTGTTCTACGACGTCTGGACCGAGCAAGCTGATGCATCGCCGGGAGCTGCTACAAAGCCGCCCGACTCTTCTTCAGAATCTGTCGCCATCATGCAATCTCAGCAGTCAAGCAAATCGCAAGTTGCTGTCCGACGTCAAGGCTCAACATCTGTCAAAGCAAAACCTTCAGGCACAACCATCCTGTCAAAGCATAGCAGTCACAGTTCCACAGGTAATCCTGCACACATGCGGCGACACTCGTCCCTCACACATCGCATGTCGTACAGTCGTGGCACGGGCCAGAAGAACTCCAACCTCATCTCCGAATTCCTCAATCGCTCTTACGACGAATTTCTGACGGTACTGGCCTCGTTCCTGGGATCTCACATGCAATCTAGGTCATCGTCCGAGTTGTTACTCACCACTCAAAACGCCGTTCGGGCTTGTCGACAGCTGTTTGCTGTCGTCGAAACGGTCATTGACCGAGACTATAGCACTTCCCGGCCATTAGTTCAGGCCAAAGATTCCATGTACGACGCGATCACTGAACTGGTTCATGCTGCTCGCCAAGTTTTCAAGCCCATTCGCTCGATGGATGACGATCTGATTTACTCTCCTGACGAGGCGCACAGTCTAGTACAGGCTGCCACAGCCTGTGTCAGTGCTGCAGGTCGATGCGTGACCAGAACCAAAGCGACGCTAGAAGAGATAGGAGATTTTGAGATTGAGAATCTGAGTTATCTTTTAGGACGTAACTCAGGTGGCTCTAGTACACCCGAGCCGACGAACTTCGAACCCACGCCTCCGGAACGCCTTCAATCCTCTTCGGCATTGAGGTCACCCGCAGACAAGGGTACAGATCAATTGGAGGAGCGCCCTCGCATCGTCATCAATCAGGGCCTGCTGACCCCTCCTCTTTCCCTCAACACTGTCGAATCTCCTTCCACCAGCTCCGGTAGTGTTCCCCCAACACCGAAAGACGACGTGGTGGCGGAGATCATTCGCTCGTCGCCATTGCCATCCGCGTCTCTGACTCATCAGAAGATCTCTGCAAGCTCTCCAGTCTCCAATCAGTCCGCGGATATCAGACACCACCGCAAGTCCGGAGCCCGCGCAGTTGGAGGGAGTACGAGCAGTGACAGCAGTTTCGAACGCATTGAACGACGGTCGAATCCCAGCAACATATCCTCCGCGTCGACGCGAGTCACCTCGGTTCAGGAAGATCTTGGCCACTCGCTAAAGCCCCTTGGCTCAAGACCGTCACATGATGGCGGTGGCCGAGAGTCCCTTGACGATGACGAAGATGCTGAAGCAGAAATCCTCGTTCACACCTTTTCCCAAGAGCTTGTCTTTAATCGAGAAGGCATAATTGTTGGGGGTACGCTGAACGCCTTGGTGGAGCGACTGACCGCTCCCGACTCAGCCCCTGATGTGTCTTTTGTCACCACAATCTACCTCACTTTCCGCTTATTCGCAACTCCGGTGAGCTTCGCTCGTGCCTTGATATATCGCTTCGAGTACGTGGGTGAAAATGCGAGCATCGCAAGCCCTGTCAGACTACGCGTTTATAATGTCTTCAAAGGCTGGATGGAATCTCACTGGCGTCATGACTGTGACGACACAGCACTTCCTGTCATTGTCGGCTTCGCAAGAGAGTCACTCATTGGTGTACTCCCAATGGCCGGCAAGAGAATTCTTGAACTGGCCGAGAAGGTGGCCACAAGCCATGCGCCTATTGTTCCTAGAGTAGTATCCGCCATCGGAAAGACGAGCACATCCACCGCGGCCTATATTGATCCGAATACCCCACTGCCAAATCCCGTCATTTCGAAGAGCCAGCTCACCGCATTGAGGGCTTGGAAAATGGGTGGACCATCCGTCTCCATCCTTGACTTCGACCCTTTGGAACTTGCTCGTCAGATCACGTTGAAGACTTCCAAGATCTTTTGCTCGATTCTTCCCGAAGAGCTCCTAGGCACGGAATGGACAAAGAGAAGCAGTTCCCTTGCCGTCAATGTCCGCTCTATGTCGACTCTGTCCACCGACATATCGAACCTCGTCTCCGATTCCATTCTCCAACTCGAAGAGCCAAAGAAGCGAGCCGCCATCATCAAACAGTGGGTCAAGATTGCCAACAAATGCTTGGACTTGCGCAACTTTGACACGGTCATGGCAATCGTCTGCGCTTTGGACTCGACCAACATCAAGCGAATGAAGAAGACATGGGAATGCGTACCTCAGAAGGCTAAGACCATATTTGACGAGATGTGTAAGATTGTCGACGTGGCTCGAAACTATGCTGTTTTGCGTCAACGTATTCAGTCCCAACTCCCGCCTTGCCTCCCTTTCATCGGCGTCTATTTGACAGATCTTACTATGGTCGATTCAGCGAACCCTTCTACAAGGCCACTTTCAACGGAAGGCGGCGGGGCCCCAGTCATCAACCTAGACAAGCACATGAAGACGGCGAAGATCATCTCCGAATTGCAAAAGTTCCAGATCCCCTATCGCTTCGCCGAAGTCTCCGAGCTCCAGACTTGGATGCAAGACCAACTCATCCGAGTCAGGTCTGCAGGAGATAAAAGTTTCCAACTTCATTACCGACGATCCTTGATTTTAGAGCCCAGAGAACCTAGCAGGAGTCCAAATCCTGAATCAGCAACGGGAAAAGATAAGGAGAAATTCGACTTCTTTACATGGGCACACCTGGGCCCAAAAGAGAAGTCAGTTTCAGTGTCTAGTTGATCAGAGACCTTCAGGTTGACACAGGACTCGGGCTTCAGAAGCGACGTTTTTATGATTTTCCTCTTTTCATTCTTCCCAGGATCGTTATGAGCTTATGATACCCCACGGACGTCTGTGTTTCTTGTCATTTTGCTATGTCGCCTACTAGCATGGGATATAGGTTTTGCTTGCGAGGCGTTGGGTTGGGGATACGATATCAGTATTTTGCTGTCTTTTGCTTGATTCCTGGCTTCTCGGGGTTTGGCTCAATGGTGGGAGGTTTGAGCCAGGCATTCATGCACTTGCTGTGGGTGTAACTTATCACATGCGTCGTTGTTTACCGAGGACAGGGCCATAATGGGGAAGCTTGGAAAGCAATATGTATGCATTATGGATGAAGCGGGGTTTTGTCTCCTCTAAACAATAATGGGTTCTGATGCTGGTAGTGCGGCTATGGCTACCGGGGTAGGGAAACAAGCTCTGAAGATCTAGTGGTTCGGGACAGCTTTCCAAAATGCAAAGCAGACAAGGGCCATGATTGCATAAGTTTCTCGACAACTCTACCGCGTGATGTACATAAACGCGCCAAATTGACGACAGGAGTTGATTAAACACTCGACGTCTCGCGAAGCTGGCTTTTCGAGATTCATCAACTTTGTAATGTATAATGTTCTCTTTACTATATTGGCATGCATCAATGTGGGAGCATGGCCCTCATTACGCTAAGTCGAACTGGAGATCTTGGTCATATCGGCAAGACGCTTCTAGATAATCGGCTCTATGCCTAATAGAGACTTGTATGAGAGGAGCAGTATCCAAACCAGCGCAGCAAGCTTTAGGAGGAAGTAACAAGGCCGGCACTTCCTCGTAATGGCAACCCCCCGAGAATGCGGATCACCAACGCTGTCCAAACCGGCTTCGCACCCAGGGTTGATAATAGCCTGAGTATTCTCTCGTCCTAGAGATGCCAAAGTAGCTAGCAACATTGACGTAGCCGTCTTCGGTATGTTCGCCAGCCCTTTTGAGCGCTTCGGCGTCCGCGATATCCGTCTCCCAAGGCGTTCGACAGTAGACGCAACGCACTCGCTTTCCTGCTTGGCTCTTCGCCCACTGGTTAAAACATGACCTGTGTATGTTGTGTCCACATTGCGCTTTGCACCAGACCAGCTCGTTGTGCTCCTCATCAAGGTCCATGTAGCAGATTGGACATTCTCCATCGGTAGGCTTGCGGCCCCCCTTTGAGTCTTCGGAAAGATCGGTAGGGATTGGAGGCGCACGGGCAAAGATTTCTTCGAGCTCCGAGGTCAGGAGGGCAAGTTGGTACTGAAGATGCGAAGGCGCTTTAAGGACAGTGTGAAGAGCGTAGACTTTGTGTTTGCACTCGTTGCCTCTAAGCGAGTCAGGACATGTGCAGGTCGGCGAACGACTGATGGTGACGGTGTAGATGTTCCCTGTCGAACCCACAATGTCAATGTCTTCAGACGGGGCTCCTGCTGTCATATTCCTTTTGCGACCTAGCACAATCATGCGTTGAGTCTGGGCTCGCTCGAGCTTAACGAGGAAAGACGCTGGAGGCTTGCTTCTGTATCTGCGCATTCGCTTCTCCTCAACTACTTCTCTTGTCTCTTTCTTGGGCGTAGTGGTGGTGCTTCTCCTTTTGGTTCTGCATTTTGCTCCGTCCGCTTTGGTCGGATAACTTTCATCTCTAGCAGTGCTTAGTGTTTTGTCTTTCTTGAGATCCAGTACCCTCGTTGATGCACACATTCCGGCTGGTTGATGGAGCGGCAGTTTAAATCGTGATGGAGATCTAGGTTTCATTGGGGTAATTTTCACGACTCCTCCGCCGCTGGAAACACGGGACAGCGTCGTGGGAGGCATTTTAAGCGATGAAATTTGGTGCCTTGTGATTGAATCAAGTATCTAATAGTGGTCAGTAGGTTGCCTCTGTTCTGGATGGCGGGGAAAAGGTAGAAAGAACGGGGTAATTAAGCTCCCTCCTTTAAAATCGCGGCTGACAGAACTTTGACAGACACAGTAAGGTCCTCGGGTCCCTGTCTCTAACCAACCAAACATTTCGTCAGAGGTTGAAGAGATACGAACTGACCCAAGGTGTCAACGATTCGATGCCCCCTATAATTCTCTGCGCCTACACTGTTGGCGAGACATCCCGCACATCTCAAGCTCCTCTGCAGTACATGCCGCCGCCATCATTGACCGTCTCACACCAAGTGAACTTTAACCAGAGTGCGCAAGGGGAAGAGCAAGGTGGTCACGATCTGTTCCGTTCCCCTCAAGGCTACGCCCTCCTGCTACCGAGATCCCTGCATTCACTAAAGCGAAGCTCATTTGATTGAGAACCAACTGCGCTCTACCGAGTTCCATGGCGCTCCAATACGGTTTCATAGTCACGCGGTTTCGCTCGCGATGAATATGCTTCAGTGCGGCATAGGCGCCCTTTCGTTCATCCATTCCGATTTACACCAGGTCTTGAGAATGTCCACCGGGGTTTTTCACAGAATCTATAGCTGTGAGTCTTGTGCAACTCTCGGACCATTAGGATGATATACTCACAGTCAGTGGTCACAAACGCTCTGTCAGCCTCGGTCAATGCCTCGCAACAGTATTGCAACGTCTCGGAAATATCATGTGTGCGCCTCAATGGTGTCTTTCAAGCTAGCAAAATATCGAACTCTGCCCACACGCCATCCCCTGCATGGTACGCAATAACCGACTTGAATCCAGACACCAGGTTGCTGAATCGATAAGCGAGATATATCAATTTCTTCTGGAGCATCTCATCCACCGCGAGACCGCAAAGCCTGCTGACATTTTCGACGCAGGTATCCCGCCCGGTCGTAAATAATGTACAAGGAAAGCAGTGCCGCCCCCAAAGGATCCAGCCACCAAATGCCCGCCTGCTTTCCGATCAGCGGAAAGAGCAACGAGAGCGTATTGAAGTAGACATCCGTCTTGCAATCCTGCGCCAGCGCTTGCACTTGTGTGGTCTTGATCCTCATACATCCCACGCCGATCAGACCTTGATCTCGACGGTCTCAACCATAGAAGCGATTGCCAGTGGAGGCAACGAAGCAATGTCGTGGTTGCCATTCGGAAGCAGTTTCGCAATGGATTCTTGCAGTACTTGAAGGAAAGATATAACCATGATGATGGAAAACAGAAGTATCCCGATGGGTTCCAGCCTCCGCCGACCGACTGGGAAGTTCGTCACAAGCGCTGACAACCTCCAAGAGACCAGTTTGTTAGTCGCCCACACGGTCGCTGTGCACAGCAGATCCTGCGCCGAATCGACGAGAGATGCAATCAACGACAAGGACGAGGACTTGAGCGCGGCTATTCCCTTGGCAACGACGAGAATGATGTTGGCAATGACATTGATGTTGATGGCCCATCGGGCGTTTCGATCTTTCTTTTGCCTACTTTTTCGCACCTCCTCCGGCAGCAAGTAGTGAATGTGCTCTTCAACATGCTGCAGTCTGCCTTTCTCGAATCCCGTCGTGATCAGCGTCGGTGTTCATACCCTCCATAACCTCGTCGGCCATGGCCAACACTATGGTATCCACCTCGGCCCAATTGTTCAACGTAGCGTTTTGCTTCCCGTAGAATTTCCGGACATTTTCCTCTTCAATTCGCTTCAGATGAATGCCACGTGTCAGCAGGATAGTCGTCCATTGGCGCGTGCTCTTACCTCTTCATCGCTTTTCCTGGCCTTTTCGAATGCTCCTCTATCCACGCCATTTCGCAGCTGTTCCTTCAAAACAGCCGTGGTTCGGCAATCCAAAGCATATTCGACGGCATCCTTGAAGCCAGGAAAGTGTCTCTTATGGTTTCCCGCTTCCAGATCCGGCTTCCTCTAATTGTCATCTGCCTGATTCTTGGGTGGATGGAGAGTTCGTTTACCGACCATGGTATAGCTGCTCTGAGGCTCTGTGGGTCGATCTGACAGGGTCAAATTTTAGGGATAAGCGTCAGAGTTGAAATCTTTCCAGCATGAGGTCGCAAATATATTGCTCTCGCGAAGGGCATATGGCCAGATGCCATTGTTGATATAAGGAGCAGATCTCATCAACGCCGTGGCGCGGCCCCCCTGCTTCGATGACGACATTGAACCAACCGTTTCCCTGTTTCGCTCTCCAAAGCAGCACAGAAGCAACAACCTTTCCCGTCCAAGGAAGCTTGGTCGTCAAGCGAATCTCGAGTCAAGGCCTAGTTAGGGGCAGGATGCCTCGCGCAAGCGACACTGAGCAACCTTTTTGTGGCCCTCGGCTTCACATGCCCACAAGCCCTACGCTCGTCCTCACGGCAGCGAGCCTTCTTCATCAGACTGATAATTGGCCTGGGTCCCCTCAGTTAATACCACAGTACGCAATGTATAAGAATTAGAGCGGGCGAATGTCCATACGAAGCGACAAGTAAGATGCCTCCGAAGCCTACGCGCGCAGTTCCCTCCTTCAAAACCTCCTTCCATGACATCAATGACAAGTGCAGAAAGCTAGCTTAGGCAGCTACATGGCTATCCCACAGAAACATGATCATTGCGGATTGACACGCTGGGGTTCGGTCTCTTAAGACAAGAACAGCGCCCACAGTCATACGGTGGAAGACCAAGCAGGGTATGTTGGCTGCCGATCGTACTGTCGAAATCGGCGCATCGGGGGATATTGTAGAAACAGTGTGCGAAGACATCATACGCCCGGGTTTGTTGGAATAGTTCGAGGGACAGAGATATGTACAGTGGTAAGTTGGCATTGTTCCTAAGGCTCTGTCAAATCCGAAACTTTCAAGAGCACAAATTCCCATGGATTCAACTGAACAACTGGCTCAGTCCCGGAGGTTTTTCTGGCCACGTATCTTAGTGAGTAAGCGTTCTGTCCTGGTCCTTAAGGACGTCACCCCGCATTTGTATCTGAGCCAGATCAGGAATTGTCCTATTCGTGGTTGAACTTGAAGCTCGGCTTCTCGTGGTCGCCGAATCTGACAGACTTGCTGAAATGCTAGCATTATCTATGGGTGAGATGGCTTTTTGGGTCTGCAATTTTATGATCCCATCGGATTCATTCTGTTTCTCGACGACATCGTTGTTACCAGCGGATACTCTTGCCCCGAACTCGGGGCTAGGATGCTTGCGGTTGCCGTGAGCCCATGACTGCACCACTTCCAGCTTGACGCCCGGTTGCTCCATGAAGTCGCCAACGACGGCTGTCGTCTTGCATTTCTCACAAATGTCAGGAAATACGTGTAGGTTTTCGTTGACACCGTCCTCGCAGACTTGGTGAGTGATTGTGATCGGCAAATTAGAGGTTAATAGTTTGTCCACGATGTTAGCGCACTGCACGATGGTCGTGATTTTGACATGTCCGCAAAGGTGGTATATGGTGCATGATTCACACATCTTGCAGAGGCGTCTGTGGGAGAGAAAGAATATTTCGGATTTTTACAGGAAAAGAGAGTCTTGATGGGAATCGTGGCTGGTGTTACTCGTCATTCTACGAGGTCTACCGCCATCTTGTACCCTGAGGAACCAGAAAAGGGACATTCTGGACAATGAATACCCAGTTTGAGCTCCTTTGTCGGAAGAGCCCAATTTTAGTATCACTCTATGCTTCATGATAAGGGCTGATTCTTTGTTCGGGTTCTTTATGATCGAGGTGTGTAATCAAATAATCATGAGAGCAGCGTATGCAAGACGTGGCCAAGGATCAGGCTGGCGTTGAGTGGCCGACGATAAGTGAGTGAACAATGTTCATTATTGGGCTCTGCAGTTCGGAAGCCGAGTTGCCTATCTGCTCCGCGCCGCCCTTTGTTGTTGATCGAAGTTCATTCGGGAAGACAGGCCTTCTTCTCGCTTTTCTTGCCAGCAGCCCCTGGGTTTTTAATGTAGGGATACACGGGGCGGTCAAGGGGGCGATATGGTTAATGTTTTAGGCTGTGGCAAGGCTCAACGGGGTGGCGTTGGGGCGAATCTGGGGTTGGACTTGGCACTGGGATCTGGCTGTTGGCACCATTGGCACCAGCTAGGGCTTGGCCTCCAGTTGTACTTGTACAGTATATGCCTAGCATCGCACCTTTCTAGGGCCAGTAGGGCTCCTAGGCTAGTGCTTAGTGGAGTCAAGCTTTTTTCTTCTCAGCAATTACTTTTACTTCATGCCTACTACTCTCTACTGTACGTACACACTGCTCCTAGTTTGTGCGGGTCATCAAACCTCCACTCGTGCTTCGACTTTCTCTTTCCAGCCACGAAGTCGATCATGTCTGTTTCCTATCTTGTTAGCTTGCCTGTTCAGTCGATAGTCGGAAGACCCTTGAACGCCTCCCGGCTCGTCGTGAACCTGCATGGATGATTTGATCTACTCCCGCTGACGTAGCCTGCTTATGAAGTCGATTGAAATCATGCACGCCCTTTTCGCCTTCCTCTCCGATTAAAACTCCCTCACTCCTCTCCCTGCTCCTAACCTTGCAGCGCTCCTCAGCGCACTTAATACTAACCTCGAAATCTCTGCACCGAACATCAATATGGCCGAAACACGTCGACCATCAAGGACTCCGCGGCGGAGGACCAGTGCCCATGAGGACGCTGCCATGCTGGCGGGAATGGGGGTAAAACAGGAATTACAGCGCAATTTCTCCTTTCTGTCCATGCTAGGACTAGCCTTTGCCATTCTCAACTCGTGGACCGCTCTGGGTGCGAGTATGTCGTTGGCTTTGCCCAGTGGAGGTCCCGACTCGGTCATCTGGGGTCTTGTTGTTGCTGGTATCTGTAATCTGTGCCTGGCCGCGTCTCTTGCTGAATTCCTCTCGGCCTATCCAACCGCCGGAGGCCAGTACCATTGGGTCGCCGTCATCAGTTGGAAACGCTGGGTGCCACTTCTCTCTTGGATCACCGGCTGGGTCAACACCGCTGGTTGGGTTGCTTTGACAGCAACTGCTGGACTGTTGGGAAGTCAACTCGTCCTTGGCATCATTTCGCTCACATCGCCATCCTACCAGTCCCACCGTTGGCACCAGTTCTTGATCTATATTGGATACAACATTTTTGCCTTCATGGTGAATGCATTCATAACTCGGCTGCTTCCCCTCGTCAACAAGGCTGCGTTGATCTGGTCCATCACAGGATGGCTTGTGATTTCCATCACCGTTCTCGCCTGCTCTTCTCCGAATTACCAGGGCGGAGACTTCGTGTACCGTACATTCATCAATGAAACTGGCTGGCCGAACGGACTTGCTTGGCTGTTGGGTCTCTTGCAGGGCGGTCTAGGATTGACTGGATTTGATGCAGTCGCTCATTGCATTGAAGAGGTAGGAAATCCTACGGTTCTGGGTCCTAGGATCATGATCGGCTGTGTCTTGATTGGCGTCATGACGGGCTTCATTTACCTCAGTGTTCTTTTGTTCGTCTCCAAGAACGTGCAAGATGTTATCAGTTCTTCTGCGGGTCCGATGTTGCAGATCTTCTACGACGCGACTGCGAACAAGGCCGGTTCTGTGTGTTTGTTGATGTTTCCCCTCGTCTGCTTGCTGGTGAGTGCGTCAATAGCCGATCCTGCACGAGCAGCGACATGACTAACGTTCGTCAAAGTTTGCTGCGGTAAGCATCATGACCACCAGCAGCCGGATGGTGTACGCCTTTGCCAGAGATGGGGGATTGCCAGCCTCGCCCTTCTTCGCCAAAGTTCATGGACGACTCCAGGTCCCCCTGAATGCACTTTGGCTGACTCTGATTCTGGTCATTATCTTCGGCTGCATATTCCTCGGGTCCAGCAGTGCCTTTAACGCCATTGTGTCGGCTTCGGTTGTGGCCTTGGGAATCACTTACGCCATCCCTCCCACGATCAATTGCCTTCGGGGTCGCAAAATGCTGCCAGCATCTCGTCCGTTTATTCTGCCAAATTGGCTTGGGTGGACATGCAATTTGGTAAGCTTGTTCAGAAAACCAGAGCACCAGATATTGACAAATAACAGATTGGAATTGCCTACGTGATACTCACCACCGTTCTTTTCATGTTCCCGCCAGTGTTGCCCGTAACCGGCAGCAATATGAACTACTGCGTTGCAGCATTCGCAATTGTCCTAATGGTCTCCACGATCCAGTGGTTTGTTGACGGCAGAAAGAACTATGTAGGGCCGCAGATTGATCTTGGCGCGTTGAAGGCTGGGGAAATCGTGGGTATGGCTCCGGATGAGAGTAACCAAGCTAGAGCGAGCGACGATACATTGTTCGGAGGTCAGGAAAAGAAGGTGGTGCCGGAAGCCTGATTCGTACTGCAGCTCAAGCTCAGCCTGTCTGGATCAACCAGGCCATTCAGGGTCCTCCTTTCTTTGGAACACAGCAATATACTTCTTTCCGCCATTTCTCGTGACTTTCTTGGACTCCTCCGTTTCCTCGCTCATGACCTTGACGCATGGATCAGCCTCCAGCTCCTCCTGCGCTACTCTCTTCCACAATTCCTTCGCGCCGCCCGCTTCTTCACCTTCAAAGTGCTTGACCATCCACTGATGCAGCTCTTCGACGTCCGTGATGGTATAAACCAAGCCGCCAGGCTTTGTCACAAATGCGTATTCAGCGTTCAGCTGCGCAGAGACGATGCGGGCCTTGTGCTTTCGCTGCTTGAAATGTGGATCCGGAAAGCAGAGGAATATCTTGGACAGCTGAGCACGGCGAAAGTAGTTGGGTAGAAATTTCATCGTATTCGTGCGGAGCGCCGAGATGTTCTGGTAGAGCATGGCCTTGTCTTCATTAGTGACGGACGTAGATTGGTTTTGGGCGCGGAGAGCGACTATTCGGTCGACGACATAGTCAGTGACTTGAGCTCGCAGCTCCATCCCTAGCCCTTAAATCAGCAACATGAAAAAGGCGAAGGGAAGCCACTGGCGCAGACCAAGCATCAAAGTCTCTGGGAGCAACGGCGCCAAAGCCACTAGAAGACCACCGAACCCACAGCCGATATCTGCGATCTCAACTTCTCTGTATACGCCGTGTCGTTGGCCATTCTCGGCTTCGCTGTTTGCGAAAGCTGGGTAATGGTATGTCCAGTCCATGTCAGCAGGACTGGCGGGGCTGTATAAAGACAAGTCAGATCTGCCATTTGAACGAGGCCATACAACATACTAGGTCAAAGCATGGTCCGAGAAAGGATTTGCATGGGCCCGTTGTCGATAGAACTTTTTCTTGGGCAACTCGATCTTACCGCTACCACTGCCATCCCTTCTAGCTTTGAGGTTCTCTTGAACCTTCTTGTAATCTTCTCGTTTCTGTCGTTTATTCGAGGGTCCCGGCATATTTCCGGTTTGGAAGCGAAGGAGCTTCGGTTCTATCGACAAACGAAGGCGCAAAGTTCGACATCAGCGCTTCAGCCTACATTGTACGAGCACGCCGTACAGGTAGCTGACTGGGCTTGGCAATACCCCAGAGTCGACAGCCTTAAAAGCTTATTCGAGTAGTAAACGCACGCCCCGGCCATCCCTCTCGACTTACTTCCCACTAGAGTCTTTATTGCGATCCTGGCTGCCTAGCACGTAGGCACGTGCAATGGATCGGATGGACCGAAACGGGTGATCAAATGAACCAATGTCCATCGATCAGGCATAGTAATATTGTTTACGCAGTTGCTGAAGAGTTCATCTATGAAGGTATGAGGGCACGAGCAGTTGCACCGTCAGCACTGTTACTCTTGGTGACCATAGATAGAGATCCATCAGGCTTCGCATCACGCAGATAACACCACGATTCGAACTCTTCTCTTGCCTTTCTCTCTTGCACCGCTCTTCTCTTCCGAGCCCACTCTAACTTTCAGCTGCTGAAACAGCTCAACCGTGACCTCCTCTTGTTCATGACCTTTCTCAAAGACTGTAAGCCGATATGCCTCGGCATCAAACTTGCCCTCTCGCTTCAAGGCCTCACCAGGTTTTAAATGGAAATCCTCGAGTCGGACTAGTCCTTCAATGCCAAACTGTGGTACAAAGACCACGATGCCGTTTTCGAACACTCGCATCACATACCCATCAACATCGATGGCGGCGTCTGGGGCTTTCTCGGACCGTCCTTTGAGGGCTTGCCCCACATAGTACTCGATGCTGGCACGACCAGCCAGTTGGGCATTTCGGTGTCGAAAATTGAGATTCTGGCAGACTCGTTCCAACTTGCCCTTGTTTCGAAGATCATAGTCCACAACTTCGCTTCCCTGGCCATCATATCCAATCGCGTAGGCCAATTGGCGATGGACGAGCAGATCTGCATACCGACGAATGGGACTCGTAAAATGTGTATAGATCTCACTGGCGAGACCATAATGTCTAAATTCTGGTTCTGCGTGCGAGCCGCTGCAGAAGTATTCGGCCGACGTCATACAACGTGTTGCCATGATTCGGATCAGGGTGTTGAAGAATGGATGCTTA